TGTTTTATAATGCTTTTTATCAAGTAATTTGGAATAGTAGGCAGCCCACCAGCAAAATAACTGTTTCAAGCTTAAAAGTGACTCCTGAACAGCCAGAGGAATGTGCCAAGGATCCAGATGTCACTAGGAAATTTCTGTCACTAGCTGATCGGTCCTGTGCCTGCCACCAAAAAGAGAAGGAATGGGATAATGTATTGTTCTATTTTTCTGAGGCTAGCAGTCTCTGCACCAATCTACTGAAATTCTTCTGCCATTTGAAGCAAATATCTTCATGTCTTTGCATTTTCTTCCAAGCTAAAACATATTTATGTGTCTCAGGAAGTGACGTTTCTAGCACTTAAAAAATGAAATGGTTATTTATTATTGGTCACTACTGCTGTACATTCTCAGCCTTTAGAGTCATAGTTTGAGTGGCAGTGTTCAAGGCAAGGTTGGAGCAATCTGGTCAAGTGAAAGTTGTCCCTGCCCATGGCAAGGGAGCTGGAACTATATATTCTTTAAGGACCCCTCCAACACAAACAATTTTGATACTATGAAATGAAATTCTATTCTGGATACATTCTAATCTCATGGTTTAGAAACTCTTTGATTGTCCATGAGGATGAAATAAGTAGACCTTGGAGCCTTTATGGAATTAAAGCTCTACTACAGCTTTCTGGCATTCAGAAATATCCAAAGTCACAGTGCCAGTGTCCAAAGAAGGTCTGCTCTATTCACTGTCTCGGTTTTAGTCAGTCAGAAGGCAACACAAGTACATTCTGGAAGGCATTGAACTATTTTTGATCTGTGATACCCCATTCTAATACGGTAATACTAATTCCATGGGCAGTTATGTTTATCCTTATGTTTTAAGGGCTTCCCTTCACTCCAGTACTATAGATAAGTTTAACTCAAATTTTACTCACCTGGAAAGCAGGCCAGTCCTACACATTACTTCAGAGTAAAGCCTAGGCTGATACATTAATATACTGCTTAGTAATTCTGGCTTGTCTTTCAAACTTAGAAAGTTTTTGTGCTTCTGTTGCACACACGGGTTAGATCCAGTGAAAAAATCAAAAAAACATTTCTACACTTTCAGTTAAACTGAGGTTAGGAAACAGAGGTCTGAGTCCATCTGAATCCAGGTATTTTTCTACCTCCCAAAATGGTTTCCTTCAGATATCCCGTTCAGGATTGGGCTGAGGACTGCCACACTCTGTAAGGTGAGAAGCCAGATATGATGGGAGAGCTTCTGAGCAGGACTCAATTGCTTTCTAGGTGAAAAAAATCATCCAGGACACAGCTACCCACTTTTGTCTAGATCTCTCTGACACACTGCTCTGTTGCTCCAAATGTAGTTTAACACTCTGTGACAAATAGCTTCAAAAGTGGGCACTCAAATTTTACTGTTCTGCCACATGAAATATTATTATAATATGGTTTTCCTCCTCTGCTACATGCAGGCTTGTCTAATCATAGTCCAGTATTTACCATGCAAGATGAACTTAGGACTTCCTCAACTATGGACTTCACTAAAACTAAGGAAGAAACTGCAAACATTAAGTTAACTATATTTCCCTAAACTGCAAAAACACCCTTTTTGCTACTTTCACTTTTATGCAGTAAGGAAGAAGAGGGTTTGGCCACTTTGTATCCACAGCACATAAGAAAAACAGTAAGACTGCACAGCAATTGGATCAAATAGGATGTTTGTAAGCCTGAGTTTTTATTGCTAATGTATTGACAGATTCTGCCCATTTGAACTGAATGTTTCATAACTCACTCTGTGGAAGACAGCCTGCTACTGGAGCCAACTTCTGTCACCAGATCAGCACCCTCTGGGTTGTCAAGTCTTTATGTAGAGAGAGAAAGCAAAGTATTTCTAGAAGGCAACTGTTATGTTAGATTGGGCCTTAGATTCCAAGGCCATGAAGACCAAGTGGGTTAGGCCCAGGTCTTTGACCTTAGGTTGATTACAGAAAATGATCAAGCCCTTAGGATGCCACAGGAATTCTCTCTTTACATCCAGAGTGAGATAATTTCCTCCCCAGTATGAATCTGGAAATTTGTGTTCTTTATTTCTTTGAGAGATTTCTACTTTCAGTATTTTGATCAAGAAGGGAAGGATGGAGTGACCAGCAAAAATATTGGCCAGTGCTGTGAATGAGCAAAGAAAATGACACAGCAACTGGCATTTCACATAGGACCAGAAGAGTTCCCATGTTATGTGAGATGCCATCTAGCATCCCTGAGTACATAACTGGTCACATGAACTATGGCTCTCCTCTGTCCCTCAGGCCTCAATGGTGATTTTTTAAAAGCTGGTAGATTGGTAACTTTTATTGTGAAAAAAATTACAATTTGTCATGTGTGAAGGCAAGTTGCTGGAGAAACAAACCCAGGATATCAGTCTATTTTCCTTCCCAAAAATTTCCTCTGAATCCCCTTTTTCCCCCCCCCGGGATGTCACCTCTCTTGATCACTGGTGAGTCTGTGAAAATGCACTCTGCTGTGTTCCTGGGGCTGTCTCATGTTTCTCTGCCTCTAATGCTATCCAACCTGCGGGGTTTTTTTCTCTAACTAAAATACAAAGTGACTAAATTTGAAGCATCACAACACTTAAAAGGTAGGAAAAGACATTGTAATGCCCATAGAGCTGGGCTCTTTTGACCTATTCATCATCTGTTGTTTGCCTTGAAGGTTTTTAGTTCTGTGGTTATCAGGGACTGAAGCATAAGCATCTGTAGCTCCCATCCTCCCTCTGTTAGCTCTCTGTTGAAGAAAACAAGGAGAGTTATTTATGCTGTCTTATTCAAATTTAAAAGAAAAATCCAAGACCTGCATGAGCTTTAGCTGAGAGCTAACAGGGAAGAGAATATGGCCTTAGTATCTTTCTTTCAGTGTAAACACAGATATTTTTGAATAAAGGAAAAAAGACAGTAATTCTGACTCATCTTTTTTTCTTAAATTGATGTAATTTCAGCTGGCCTTCTGTGGAGAAAAAGGATAAGGGAAAATAAGTGGAATAAACATAAGATAAAGCAACAGAAATTCATAAATTCATTTACCGTAAGTATTTTCCATTAAGTTTTTGCTGTTCTTTGTTTTAGGGTTTATATTGCCATAATTCATTTTTCAATGATTTTGGAGTCTTTTTTTTCCCCAAGAGATGCTATGACTTTTCTATAAGCAATTAAACATGTGTTGTTTAAAACTCACTAGAACACATCTTTGACCAGTTAAGCATTACTCAAATCCTTTTATCATAAAACTCTATTCTCAAAAGATCACCTTATTCTAAGGTTACTAAAATGAAAGTAAAAGCCCTTGCACATTAAGAGTCTTTTTTTCCAAAAGATTTCCATTTTCTTCTGCAGACCTGCCACTTTACTTGCCAGTTGTATCATGAAAAGCTGTGCTTATAGCAGACCTATTGTAGAGTGAAAAGAGAAAATGCTTTGCTACAAGGCAGTAGCTAATTCACTATTCTTCAGGGACTGATATTCATCTATCCTTCAATAAAAGCTAATGGTTAAATAGACCCAATGCACTCAGCTAATCTTGGAAGAAGCTGATGGCTGGGGGTTGGGATTCAAAGTTCATGCTGAAGTGCTATTCCTGAAGACAAAGATATTCTTACATTTGCCTTAGAAAAAAATTACAATACTAAAAATATCACATGGCTTTCACTCTCAAACACATATTTTTATGAAACAGAACCTATGGCATGTGAAAAAGTTAAATTTTATTAATTTTTACCAATGCATCGTTTTTATGAATTTTTCTTTTTAAGGAATATGAATATTTAAACAAAGGGATTACATTTTAAATAACCTTCTGTCTAGTCTTTTGCTACTTGAATTCCAACACCCTTAAGAAGATTCAATGATTTTTTTTCATGAAAAGCAATTTTTGCAAAGCCCTCCCAGAAGGAAGGGAGATGACAACACCACGTTTCTCTCTGTATAACTACCATCCCAGTTAAAGTACTGCTGTGCTGTGCATATCAAACAGTCCAGTGCAAGAAGGAAAGCTCACTTGAGAAATCAACAATGAAAACAAAAGCCCACAACCAACACAGCAGACTACACAAGGACAGAGGAAATTTTTATAAGCAAGGTTGTGACTTAAAAAACAGTATATATGTATTCTGAACAACTGCTGTAGCAGTTGTGTATGAGTGCAGGTATGTCATTGCTTTTAACAGATAACATGAAAGTATTTTTCTGTGCTGCAGGACATTTAAATTAGCCATACTGTGACTAATCCTGAAAACAAAATGACCTGAATATATAGATGTGCTGTTTAACTGCAGGATTTCAGTCACAAAAGGCCTTATCCTGGTATCCCTGAAAACAGTGGCAAGGCTCTCCCTGATTTCACCAGAAACAGGACAGAATACTAATTAGGAGCACAGCTGAAACCATTGGGTGAAGTCCTTATTTCAGGACCTTCTCATAGTGCAGATGATGAGATGATGCACTGCAGCAAAACATCACACCTCTGCACATTAGTGGATTGCTGGAAGAACATCTGTGTTAATCAGAAACACAGAGCCACAATTGGATACATGCCTGATGAGAGGGTTTCAAGATTTGTGTCTTTCCACAAACTCAATACTGCCAATACTTTTTCTCTTCTTGCATTTTTCTTCTCATTTATCAGTTTAAAAAATATCAATCTGTATGCATATTTTTCATTACATAGGGTTTTGGGCACTTTCTCAGTGCTGGTACTGTAATCCCTCTTTTAAAGAATATTTGTTGGTAGGCATCATCTTTCTGTCTGAGGCCAGACTGTATCCCTCTTGGTGCAAAGAGAACTACTACTATGACAACAGCTCTTCTTTCCCTTCAGCATGCATCAGTGAGGAAGTCTGGGGAGAAATACAGTCTTGAAATAATCTGAAAACCATTCATTTGTCTCACAAAGCTGAGGAAAGGGGAACCTCTGTGATCTGCATATTGGCACCACGTGGACTGAGCAACTCACGGGTCTAGGGATGGAATAAAGATGCTTACATAGCAGATCTCACACGTTATTTTTGTGCAGGCGTCTCAGTCTTGTTCCTGTAGAATTGGAATCACAGTAGCTTAGAAGTGCAAAGTAATATGGAGTCCAAGTAGTCAGTGCTGGAGACATATCTGAGATAATGAATCAAATAGATGGAGGAGAGAAATTTTAATGAGCTGTTCAAAACCTCTCAGATTATTAAGTAAACTCATGGTAGTTTCAACATATATGAAAGGTGCAATTTTATATCTGAGATAAATTTGCTATATATTCTGCCTTCATCTGAAAGCTACCTCAAAGTCTATTTATTATATTAATCTGTTAAAACAAATCTTGCTAAGATAATCTGAGAGATATTTAATTTTAGATTTTCATATATTGCAGTTAAATAAGAAAGACAGATATTTGACATTCATAAATAAGTCAAGCACAGTTTTGGACATTATAAAATTGATCCAGAAATAAAACTTTTTAGTCGATTTTTTTTAATATGGTAGGCTACTTTTTTATTTGTAGCTACTGAATTTGATGAAAGTAGATTTGGTTGAGCAGCTCAGAGGTACCCCTGGCAGTGACATGTAGTCACTAGGTCATGCTACCACTAAGGGTATGGATGGGACCTGGCTGTTTCTACTGCTGTCTCATGAAAAATAAGAAAATAGCACCTGGATCCTGTCAATGCAGGATGAGATGGTGTCTTACTGTGTGACTGTATTTACATTCTTAATGCTTTTGGCTCTGGCAGGATGATAAACCAGGAAATGAAGATTGTGAATTCATTACAGCCCGTCTCTCATTCTGTCACTGCAACACACTGACATGTTTCCAACCCTGTCATTGAGAAGTTTGGTCACTTAATCCTTTCTTATTGCACATTACTTTTCAATTAGCTATTTATTGCATAACAGTCTTCCATTCTGTTACAGCTTGCTTACTGAGTTCAGTTCTGACAAAGGCTGACAAAGTAGGAGTGCTGTCACACCCAGCACGGGTAACCAGGAGAGCCAGCTTTCTGCTTCAAGCTGCTGAAAAACACTTTCCAAAAAGAAAGTTTTCAAACTTGTCAGAAGCAAAAGATCTTCCCCTTCAGTTTGTTAACATTCTGCAAGTCAATTCCTCTGAGTATGCTGGAGAGACAGACTTGTTTAAAGAGTAATCACTGAGGGCTGTGACTGATCTGTATCACACAGTTAGCAATTTACGAGTACATGCCATTTCATTTTCTCAGGGTGTCATTTCTTTGCTAAATTTAAGCGACACTGAAAAATTAAAATATTTGGAGGGTTCTCTGAGTCTGTCTTTTCAATCAATTACACTGAGTGATTACAAGTGGAAAGGCCTGGGTCATTCAAATGTACTGTTTTCCACTGAAGAAACACTGCAAAATGCAGATGAGGCATTTGATGTAAGACAAAGGGATCACAGCTATCATGAAAAACAGAACTAGGAGTACAAAACAGTCAATATATGACGAAAATACATGGTAAAAAAATTATTTCTCAGGATAAATACCTATTACATTTCTTTTTGCCTCTTCTGCTTTTCTAGAAACAGCCTCCTCTGCTTTTAAATGTCATCCATATTTATCAGACTGCATGGTTCTTGACATTTAGGATTTTTTTTTCATCAAACTGTAACTGAAGCTTTGACAAAGGGTACTAATTATCAAGGGACTAGATTTTTTTCCTTTTTCCCCCTTTTTGAAGGAGCAGCAGGCTGTAGAGAAAATGTGAATTGTCAGCTACTTTTAATACTCCTATAGCAGTCTCTCTGTCCTTACTGTGAAATATAACTAGAAATAAGATTTTAAGTGTTTGCTGAAGCATGTAGAAAATGCAGTTGGCATTGAGTAACTTGATTTTAAATGACAGAGGTCATTATTTACTTCAGTAAAAATGTTTCCACCTATTAGAACTATGCATAATCCCTACTGAAGGAAATTTTACTAATCAGTTAAAATTCACTGATTATTCACCAATGATGATTTAATCGACTATGAGATGCATAGCTTGTACAATATCACAATATGGTTACTAAAAAATTGAAGCATGAAAAATTGAGAATATGCTCAGTTACTAAACAGAAGAGTGCATTAACAAGAGAAGAAAAGTACATTGTGCTGCTTATCAACCAAAGTTGTTCCTGTTAGAAATAATCTATTTTCTTGTCCTTATTGGTAGTAAAGACATATTGGACCCTGATCAGAAAGATGGTAGCTTTTCACAAACCCCTTTCTTGAGTCTGCAAATGAAGCATAATGTAAGTGTATAGATATACATCTGAAATCTATTATTCATCAATTTCAGTTGCCTAGCAATGGCACAACTGCAAAGGAAAGAACAGTATGTGGTGAGTACCACATGGGTTTTTTTGTTATCGATAACTTTGTGTCCATATATATCTTCATTATGATCTTGCCTGCCATCACATATAAATTATTTGATTTCCTTGACTTGTCAAACACAAGCCATTTAGTTTGAAGTGAGATTTTTAAGTAAGAAAAAATACCAGATATTCCCATTACAAAATCAATTTTAATTTAGTTACAATATCAAAGCCTGCTTTGAATACACACTCCGTGCATTCAGCTGTGTTAATAGCAATGCTTAGGTCAGATTATCGGAACAAGTTTTATAAAAATTCAAGGCTAAACACAGATTTCATGTCTGGCTCAGCCTTGTTTTAATGCCATTAATTGCAAATTGACACACTGTCTTTGCCTGCTATTTATCTAACCATAGTGTAAGAAAATAATAAGACCAGTCCTAGTGAATTCTCAAGGATCACCACTGCAAAGGTTATTACCTGTAACATCAGAAGAGAAACAGAGATCTTGGGATTCTTAAAACTCAGCACCTTCTATACAGTCAACTTTATTTCTTGTCACTGCTTTTCATCCTGCACATAATCCCTATCAGTGTTTTCATGTTACAATTTTTAAACAATCAGGCATTTAGGAAACAGAAAGAAAAATAAATAATTATAGTTCTACCCCTGAAAAAAATGCACAACACATCACCTCTGCTTAGCTCTGCATAATTTACAACTTACAATTTTCTCCTTAAGACACAATGCATCATACTGACCTAAAGCAAGCAAACAAAAAAGCAGAAAAAACTCTCTCTGACTTCGCTTTTTTCATATGTTAGTGAAAACTAAGGCATTCTTGGCAATACTGTGCCTCTTATTGATTAGTGTCTCCAAAAGCATAGAATATTGATTGACACTGATTTATGTCTCACAGCTTCACATCAATTTGGTAATGCTTTCCTCTTTTTGGTTTATCCACCTCAGCATCAACTCACAGAAACTCTCTGGACATCAGTGGATCAAGATAAACCAGCAAGGTTTAAGGATGCAAGGAGATGCAGGACATGCTTCTGTTGGACTCGGCTCTTTGCAGGTCATGGGCTTCAAGCATTGCAGAATGTATGGCCAAAAAACAAGTTGTTCTGTACAGGATAAATTGCTCACTGGCCATTTTCCATGTGGGGTTGTGAAAAGTATGATCTAATCCTTCCTCCCTCATAGAAAATGTCATCCTCCCTCTTGTAGTTTCTAATAACTAGAAAACCAGGAAATTGTCATTCCTACTCTCAGCAATTCTAGTATTCCAGTATAAAGCTGTTAGAAATTTTTTCATGTCAGTCATTTCATTTAAGGAACCACTGAAGTTTTACACAGTTTTATCAAGTTCTGAAGGCACTTTTGTCTCAAGTGCTGAAGGCATGCAGATTTCAGCATGATTTCACTCACTGGTTCCACATATGTGTACAGGTAGATAATTCAGGAGCAGACCAAAATGAAAGGTTCACCTGTTCGTGTAACTTCAGAAGTTACATGAACAGGTGAACCTTTCCTACACAGAGGAGAGTCCCTGAGGGCTTCAAGAGAAAAGCTCTCAATGTATCATGTTCGGCAGGCTTTTCCCACCTGTGTTTGGTTCTCCAGCCTCTTTCATTGCTGGGCATAGAGGCTTTTTTTTCTCCATTATTTAAGTGGTTGTTATGAATTCACTACTTCATCATTTCGCTCAGAGCAATTGTAAAATGTTGCCTGTGATCTGAGAAATAATCAACTATTTAGCCTGATCATGAAAAATCTCTATTTTACTTATGCTGTGGGAGGACTTCCACGTATGGTCAGTTTACTCAACCTTGTAAAAATGCTGTAGCCAGGTGGACCAGCTAAGACAGGCATCCCTTGGTTTCTGCAATCCCTTGGTTTCTGCAAACTTTTGATTATTTTTGCTGGCAGACAGAGCACAGAAATTTCATGGTGGAGTATAAACAGCCTTAAGGAAATAGAACATTTGAGGGATGGTGTACATAGGAGAAAAGAGAGAAGTAAGTAGAATTAAAATGTAGTAGACCCCCTGAGAGAAATTATTGCCTGGCAATTTAGAGTAATTTCCATTTTTAAGTAGTCCTTGTGAGGAAAAGCAAGAGTCATTTTCAGTCTAGCATTTGAATATTGAACTAATGGAGAAATGGCAGCTCTGCAGTGGCTTCGGCAGAGATCCAAGTGTTTTTTTCCAGAGAGACCTTCTTCTGCTCCATATTTAAACTACATTTGTCTTAGAACTGCTGGAGTCTATTTTAAGGTAAACAAAGATCTCATTTAGCCTTGCGATATTTTCAAGCTTCACCAAGAAGCAGTGACAGTATGAAAGGATCAAAACTATTACACTCTAGTGAACAACAGCTTTGGGGAAAAGGACTTGGGTAAGCAGACGCAGGACATTAAAGCCAGGACTGCATACACCACTGACACTTTGGCCTATGTGCCACTTTAAACTGTCACTGAATCTCCTACATAAAGCACTCAAGGAGGTGTGGGGGTGCTGAGAGAGTCATCTGCTGTAAACTGCCTGGCTGGCAGAAGTGAGGAGAGACCCATGTGCCTCTGAGCAACCTCCCACACCACAGACCTCTTGTGGCACTCTGATTGCTGCCCCAAGGTCCAGGTCTGTGCCTATGCATTTGTGTCTTTTGCTTTGAAGCCCCTGAAAAGAGGTGGCCCACAGAGCAGTGTATTTATAGACTGACAGCAGGAGGATATGTTGGATGCTCTGGGGCCTGACAGGAGGTTAAGGGGAGACAGAACACTTGGCAGGGCAAGGTTTGCAAATCTATGGAGACTGAACATGCCACAGGCTATCAGAGCCACACTCGGCCACACCATGTCTTGGATTCACTCTAAAGACACCCCAAGAGGCCAGAGGACCCCTTCTTCTGCAATGTGGTTCATCAGGACCCAGCAACAAACCAAGAAACTGGGTCACAGGACAGCACAAATATAAAATAGGTCACACATCTCACTGGCTGAGGGCACCTCAATATTCTGTTTGAACAGAAAGATGTTTGCATCACTGAGATGTCTATTTTTTACCCATGAGGTTGAGTGACACGACGCTACCCTAGGCTGTCCATGCTTTGGGCTGATGCACTAGTAACGCTATGCTTCTGTTACAGACATGGATTTTAGATCTAGGGAAAACAAGGATAAATTTTTTAAAATTGATTTGAGGTCTTTATTCCAATGGAATTCTGCTAGAAAAATCTGTGACTTCAGTAGCATGTGCGTATTCACACAGCATTTGGTGGCAGAAGACAGGAAGAATTTTTGACTTTTGAATGCCAAGATAATATCCCTACCTGTAAAATACCTGTAATATCCCTACCAGCTGTAAAAGCTGTGTACCAGAATGAGGTCACAAATCTATTAGCCCAGGATGGACTTGCATCACCTATTTAGTCAAACAAGTCAATAATCAGCTCATTTTTTCCTTCTTCTGAAACATTTAAGTTAATTATTTTGTTTAATAAAGCTGTTAAGCATCTTCCTACTTTTAAGATACAGAAATTCCTTATGTTTTTAAAAGCATCATTTTTAAAGAATACTGAAAAATTGAAAGTACTTTGTTACTTCTATAAATGAAAGACAGCTTGAGAATTTGGATTTTGTTTGGAAGGTATATTTTAAACTAGATTTAATCCAGGCAACCACACAGCAAATTTGCAATGTGCAGTCATTGCATAGCAGAACAGCAATTTTGTGAGGTTTGGCACAAAATGCGATAAAAAGAAGCTTTTCTGGAGATTGCCAGCATCTCCAAATCCCTTTAAAAAGCATAGTGAAATAGCTTCCTTTTCTATTCCTATTCTTTCAATCAAAAGAAAAAAAAAAACAAAAACGTTTCCACGTGCTATGTGAGCTACTGTTCCTATTTTAATCGCAGGGATGGGAATGTAGGGCAGTCTTACTGTTGCAGTCAGTGTATATAAAATCACCCTTCTGTGGCAGGACGACACCAGACATTAAAACAGGGCAGGGAGCAAGGCTGAGTGGAGCTGTTTAGCCTGGCAGTGCATGTTTATTTAGGTGGTAAGAAGCTATGGATCTAGAGAAGGGCAACTAAAATTATTAAAGATAGAGGAGCAGTTGCCTACATAAAGAGACAGCTACAACTCTCAGTTGGGAGAAGAAAAAACTGGAGGGGGTGCTGTGGTTTAAGGCCAGCTGGAAATTAAGCACCACACAGCCATTTGCCCAATCCCCTTCTTCCCCACAATGTGGTGGAATGGGGAGGAGAAATAAAGTAAAACTGGTAGGTTGAGAGAAGAACAGTTTAATAGAGAAAGCAAAATGTGCACACAAAAGCAAAGAAAAACAACAACAATAAAAAAATGTACCACCTTCCATGGGCAAGCAGGTGTTCAGCCATCTCCAGGAGAGCACGGCCCCACCACGTGTGACGCTGACCTGGTAAAGAGAAACTCCATCACTCCAAATGTCCCTAGCTTCCTCTTTCTTTCCCCAACTTTGTATACTGACCATGATGTCATGAGGTCTGGAGTACCCCTCTGGTCAACTGGGGTCACGTGTCCAGGGTGTGTCCTTTCAACCTCCCCGGCACCCCCATTCTCCTCAGCAGTGCAGCACTAGAAAAGGCAGAAGTGGCCTTGGCTCTGTGGATGCCTTCCTCAGAAATGACAAAAACATCTCTGTATTATCAACTCTGTATTCAGCACAAATCCAAAATGTGGCCCCAATACCACCCACTGTGAAGACAATTAATTCTACCCCAGCCAAAACCAACACAGGGGGCATGATGAAAACACGGAGGTGCTGGTAAGTGAAATTAATCCAGTCTATCATTCAACAGTTCTGTGGGACAAGAGCTAGATAGCAGCCAATGAAACTCAGAAAACCAGTAGGAGAATATTGGCATCATCATGTTCATGAAGGTATTCATGGTCAATTCATGGTCAAAAAATCCAGAAATAGATATTAAAGGGAGATGGTCATGGATGTATCCTCTAGCAACAGGGATTGTGGATGCTGGGAGACGACCAAGAGGAATGGTCAGGGTTGCTCTTCCCAGTGCCAGACACAAGAGAGGGCTAGACAGATCACTGTTGTGATGCACAGTGTTTCTTATGCTCTCACCTGGGGACATACACGCTCTAGTGTCACTGAGGTGTACCTACACCATGCTCTGTCACATGGTACAGAGTTGAGATTTTTTTCTAGAAACAAAAAAAATAACACTATGAACTAGATTCAAAAGACATATGCAAGGGATTTCTGTGTACCAGTTACTGAGCAGAATGAAAGTAGTGCCACTTTGCAGGTTGCAAGCCAAAACATGAGTTGGCCTGGCTGACCACACATTATAGACCATGGTAAGACTGATTTTTTGCCCTAAAGAAACTAAACCCAAACTGCAATTTGATCTTGTCTTTTTTATACAGAGGACACATTACCAGTTTCACTGGTTGCTATCTAATGAATCTATGCCCTATATTAACCCTGAGGTGAAAATTCAAATAGAGCTTTCTAGTGCCATTCCTGCAGCCCACATGTGGCTGTGAGAAAGACAGTTAATTACATGTTCAGGAGTTCTGGTTCTGGCTACATTATTACTGAATCATTAATATTTTCTTTAAATTTATTGGGGATTTTGGGTATTACATAATACCATAAATTAAGCAAGGTTTTCTAAGATTGGCCTAAGTGGCACTCCTGAGAGTTTAGACCATAACTTTTTTCATTCCTTATTTTCTCCTACCTGCAAAATGGAGACTCCACATGTTGCAGAACTTTTGCTGTTATTAATGTTTATACAGTGCTCAGAAAAATAACCCCACCATACAAAGGCAAGGTATTACTGCTTTTATAAAACTTTGGGGACTTTTTTTTTTTTCTTTAATTCCCATTTGACCTTTCAAAGGGGTGAAACCTGAACTTTCTCCTTTTCCTAAATATCATTTCAGGTCTCATGATTTAAAACCTTTAGCATCTTTGCTTTAGCATTAGTCACCTTTAATGGCTAAAGCACACATATCTCATCTGATATTTTGAAATTGAGGACTAGACATTTTAAAAACAATGATGGCTAGGAAACAGACATACTTCAGCCATACTTTGTTGGACCACAGAACTTACAGTAACTGGATTTTAAAACAGTAATTTCAGTAAGTTCTTGTGGTATGTAGCAATTCAAGAGCAACACTTTCCTACCTTATCATTTCTTGTGCTCACCCTTTCTTTTCTCAAGGAACCAGCTGACTCACACTACAAAAGCCTTGTACTGTACAGGAAGCCCTGCATATATATGGCTGTAGGTGTGTGCAATACCTGCCCACTCTCATAGCCCAACAATGACACAGCAGTTTCCCCCCACAGAAAGCACCCTTCCAGAACACACCATCTTCTAAGAAAATACGGTATATTTTTTAGGCTACAGCTTCAGCAGATGCAATTATGAATAACTGCAACCTGTTACATTTTTTTAATACTATGTTGCTTGAAGATAAGTGTTTATCTGGCAGTGCAGAAGTTCAGTTGTCAATCATGAGTTAGATAAGCAGAATGTTTAAGCCTATCACATCTCTTTTATAAAGTAATGATATGATGACAGTAAAGAAACTAGCACAAACAGTTCTGATATCATAAGACAACTACAATAAAGTTTGATACATCAGCATGACCATTTTTAACAGACTGCTTAACGTGACAATTTTTTATGTAAGTAAAATGTGGATTTCAGGAATGCATTCCTGGCTGTGCAAATTTTTAATGATCTGTAAAATCACATTCAGCCACATAAATTATTCATATATTTGTATACAAAGAACAAAATCTGGAAAATGTATTTAAATACCTTTAAAGAACCACTTTGTTGATAGCAAAATATGGATATTATTTTTAGAAGAACTGATGGCCCAATTTTATTGCACATTGTAAGAAAAATGCAAGGTGACATTGTCTTCTGAAAGAAATTTTAACATAAAGGGTATTATTCAAACTTATAGTCAATATATAGGAGAAGTTGCTTCTTCAGGAGACTTCACCTGCATTAAAGTCACTCTATCTTGCCATTAGAACTCATTGACAAATGTTTTTAATTTATGTTCAGTGTAATGGAACAACTCTGTCATTTCTTCCCGTGTGGACAGTTATTGCCACTTAGGAGTTTTAAGTCACATTTAACCTTGGACAATACTGATTTTTCCTTTTGATAGTCCCTGGACCAAGAAATTATAGCTCGGTTGTACTCAGCAGTTTTGTCTTTAGTGCCCATCTTCTTCTTCGTTCATTTATATATTTCCTAAGGTGTATTTTCTCAATATAAGTTTATTTAATAAAGGAAATGGACAATATCCATGCTCCTGGTTATTTGTTGCCCTAATTTTAAAATATCTTTGAATTTATCTGTAATTTTTCCATGCTGTCATGTTTGTCAGTGCTAACATAATGTATTTGGCCATACAGTCTCATATTTGACCCCTAACCTTTCATATCCATCAAGAATATAAATGCATCATAAAGCTTCTATCTGTTACAGCATACCACCCCTTTTATTTGTAAGCTGCTGGGCTTTGTTGGCATCTTAGGGTATTCATTTTCCCACAGACTGGTAACATCTTTCTGAGAGGTGGGAAAACGTGTATATAAGGAATACAATCCTGAAAGGAGAACCCCAGGCATCACCCTAGTAAGGCTCAGGGAGTAACTAGCAAGGCTGAGCATTCAGCAAGTTCTAAAAGTAGTGTGCCAAAAACAATAATAATCCAGACTGGACCTTACAAAAGTGAGGAAACTTCAGTGGTTTCAGACATATATGCATACCTGGAGATATTCAGAATATTATGGACTCCTCCAGCCAGAGCTATTGAAATGTTGAGAATTCTCTGTAATACAGATGTAATAGTTATATCTGAAAGCAATCATGACATACATTTTTCAGCTCAGAAGAAGAAATGAAGAAATCAGTTAACCAAGGATGAAGTACTTCTTATCCAAATGAAGTTATTTCCCCATTTACATGCCCCAGATCCATATTAGAGAAATTATAGAATGTTTCTAAACTTTTGCAGCTGCTTCTGTTGCTTAAAAAAAAAATCAATTAAGAGGTATTTTAATAAAAGGACTGACCATAAACAAGAATATTTTACTAATAGGGGTTTTAAATAATCAGCTAACAGAAAATTAGGAAGAAAAATAAATTAAAATAACAACAAAAAGAAAGAAAAGAGAAAAAAATAAGAAAAAAAAGAAAGAAGGAATACCAAATACAGAAGAAGATTCTGTAATAAAAACAAAATTGGTAGCTATTGTTTGGCAGACACGTCCTGGAGAAGATGACTACTCAACAGCATTGTAACGCTGCTGTTTAGTCATATGTCCAAGACTGCTCATTAGCATTCCCAAGCATGCATCAATTTGAAAGTGTCTTTCTTTCAACTCGTCGGTATGGAAGCCCCAAAGTGCACTTTATTTGTGTAATAGGTTCTTTCAAGATGTTCAAAATCAGTTTTGGCTCTTCTGGTTATATTCAAGTGACATCCACTCAGAAGAGAAAAAGAGTTCCTTCTTGCTAAATAATAAAAGTCTAGAGAGCAAAGAAATAATGTGTTCTAGACAGATTGCTTTAAGCAGTGACAAGAAATATATGGTATTCTCAGACACTGAATCTGATTCCCAGGTTGAGCAGATATCCCCAAAAGAACACCTGTACATAATATTATTCTGCTTCGAGGAATACGTTTTGACATGATTAATATATTTATCAGCTAAACATGCAATAAATCTAGAGACGGATGAGTCCAGTTTCATTCAGAGTAGAAGGCTAAATTTTTTAAATTTTCTGCTCTAACAGGACCTGTACAAACTTCCTTCCTTTCCCAACTCACCCAGTAAATATTAGTAGTGTAAAGGAATTGGGCTCTGGGAGGAGAAAATTCAATGTATGTTTTGATAAGCTATATTTGTACCTCACTTCTTCTGTTGTGCTGTGTTCAGATGCAATGTGTAGTCATTCATCTTACATCATACTTTTCTTAGAAGCTAGGAGAGAGTTGATACCGATTTACAAGCCAGACAGTGTCTCTCTCATAAGACGATATATCAAAGAATCATAGAGTTATCTGAGCTGGAAAGAACCAGGTTAAAGACCATCTAGTTCCAACCCTCCTACCACACAGGCAGGGACACCTTCCTCTAGACCAAGTTGCTCAAAGACCCATCAAACTCAGACTGCAACACTTGAATACAAATCTCCTCCCCTTGGTATGAGTAACCCAACCACTAGCAGCTTTCCGGGATATATCTCATCATGTGTTCCAAGAAAAAGAAGTTTGTGGATTTGAAATTTAATAAAATCATAGGGCATTGAAGGAACAGTAAATATAAGGTTTCTGTAGCATGTAAACTGCAACTGTAACCAGCAGGGGCATTAAGTTGTACTTTATAAGGCACATTCACAGCTATTACTGCCTAATTTGCCTTCACTCAACTGGTTAAACGCATTTTTAAAACGCAGCAGAATTTGTTCCTTTCTATCCCAGACTGCTGTAACACTGAGCAGCAATACTTACATACCTTCCAGGGCTGTGACAAGGATTCACTTATTAGATATGGATTGGTTTTCAAACAGGGTGACTCGGCCACTTCTCAATCTCTCTGCGCCTGCCCTGCAGTACCTTCTTCCCTGATTCTCTCTTCAGGGCTTTGGTGAAAGAGCAAAGCAGGACTTTCAGAGATCTTGCTTTGTTTTACACTGCAAACTATTTCAGATCAGTAGTTACATCACTTAGTACTGGTAAAACAATAAGCAGGGAGCATGCTTAGAGCTGGCATCAAACAACATATGTTGCATGAGGCCAAAGATCCGAAAAAGCCTACAGACAACAGGAGCCTCCCTGTAGCTTCTCAGTTTCCTCTTGGAGAGTTTGGGATGGGCTTTTCATCCAACCCTGCATTCCCATGCTGTCCTGTAGCCTCTTGGAACATTCTCTTACTCCTGATGCATATTGCAGCAGCTTTTCAAGAGGAATGTGAAGCTACATGCTTCACATTCTTACACTCCTGTAGAGTGTAAGAACACTTTTTCAAAAAAGGCCTGTGAAACCTCCATTACTTGGAAGAGAGAAAAGGAAATCTCAGTGAGGAAACCCTTTGTCGGCAAGTTTAAAATGCATGGTTTGATCTACTTCCAGCAAATTTATTCTCATGGATGTCAGTTATTCATTTCAAAGTTTAATTGGACATAGGGTAATACTTTCCTGTCTTAGAGAGGAGAAAAAAACTAGTTATTTTTCACACTTAGGACATATGCAAAGGTATTTTTTCTCAAAGGTTGATACAAGAGGAAATAATTCCTACAGTTTCAGAATTGCACCATTTGTGCAGTTGTGAATCATTCCTGCCTTTAACACTTGACAGCATGTAAAGTAGATGGACTGGTTTTTTGCTCATATTCACTACATATCTGCTTCCCCTGACAATACAATTTTGGCTTCATAATAAATCCCTGCTGCAAATCATCTTAAGAATTCTTGTCCCATAATTCACCCAATGCTTTTTGACCTTGTTAACTACAGATTTTAGAGTGGGAGATTGAAATAAATGTCAGTCTTGCTGATGTGGCCTTATTGTTTTTTTCCCAAGAAGACAGCTTAATATGCTTAGACCACTGGAAGTGGCAATGCTTCGTGAATTTCAAGAATCATAATTAATTTATTTTAGTAATGAAAAGCAAAACAGAGTGTGACAATAACTTTTTTCTGTATGCTAATGAAGCACTAAAATCTGTAATGAGACACTGTTAAATATGAAAGGAGGAAGCAGAAGAAATGCATGTTACTGCAATTTGGTGCCCATTAGAGTGTCATTGCTGAGCCTGATCTTAAAAAACCCCAGTGTGCTGACCTGGCAACAATGAAGGCAAGTATGCTTTTTACTTCATTGCTGCCAAACTTTAAAAATGCATTTTGTATCTAGATAAGTAACTTCATCAAAGTCCTGCTTTTTTCCTGCTGAAGACAATACACAAAATGCTATTATCAAAAGAGCCAGAAGGTGCCGTAGTAAAAACCTTTTTAGCAATTGGACTTGAATGACAATAGGTAAGGAGCCAAATATGAAATCAGACTTTTTGATTCTTTTCTGTATGCATTAAGAAAATACTGTAGGGGAAAATATTTTTCTTATTTATACATCCTTTTTCCTTAATGGAAACAGAGGATACAAGGAGAAAAGTTGAGATCTTGGAAGGTCTATAGGTACCTCATGCCTTCAGTACTGAAATGTCCTGCAAGAATCATCAGCTACGCTGGAGACAACACTTGAAAAACAGTCATAACCACAAAATAATGCTGCATAGAATTTTACTGACGAGAAATTGGACAAGGTTGAAAACACTTGGGACACTTGCAGAAGGATAGTACTTTAAAAAAAAATTGAAAATCCAACTATATAATCACAGTGCAAGTCTGCTGATGCTGATGTTGACTGCATCAGAAACCTCTAGAAAAAACCCTAAGGCTGTCGCTGAATTTTATGGAGTGTAAGATTATGAATAAATATTCCTATTTGTAGGAGTTTGTAGGTGGTTTTGGTACACAGTGACTGCTGGAGACAGAACACGTGAAGCAAAGAAAGGAAGAAGTCCTCCCCTTTGTGCTGTGTGAGATCAGAGCTTCCAAGGACCCTCTTTGGTCTTCTCACATTGATACCAATTTCCAGACATGATGCTGAGCTGAGAATCTGAGATTTCAGTGGTTCTTCTGAAGGATTTAAGAGATTCTGAATTAGTTAATACCTAGCAAGGTATCTTGCTCCTTTTTGGAAGCAATTTCATGTGATTCTAAGCTGTCATTTCTTAAGTAAAAGTGATTCATGATGCATTGAAATGGAATTTAAAATAATTTTTTTCTGAATTTAATGCTTGTGAGAGCAAATGACGTAAGTGAGGCATGATGCAAACAGAAGTAAAACAGAGCAAACTGTCCCAGTGAGTTCTGGTTATCCTTCTTGTCCTGAAAAACAGAATTCTGTAGCATTAGCCTTAAGTTTCTCACGAATAAATCCACACTATCTGCATTTGCTCAGGCTACAGGAAAAAAGGGGTTGTATTCAGTCTTTATGTTCAGTCTCTTTAATCAGCTTAAACCTGTTTTTTCCTGTTCTATTTGCGTCAGTGAATTCAGAGGCACTGAGTTAACAGAATTGATTTTAAAATAGATTTCAATTAAACCATGTAATTTATGACTTTAGAAAAGGCATACTTGGCTCAACATGTAAGTGCACTGGCACACAGCTTTTTTTCAAGACATATGACGGGCATGTTAAGCATCTAACCTTAAGGTGCAAACATTCCCTCTACTTTTCTGGCAGTAGCTTTCCTGAGATAGAGCTGTAGCAGCCCTATTTGATCCTGTGTAATTCTTGAAGTTCATTTTACCCTCCCTAGTATTTTTGGGTAGGCCTGTGATGCATAAAAGGACTCTTCTCTCACTCCATAGACAATTATTATTCTGTATTCTAGGTAAAAGAGTAGGCATTTCTGTATCTGATTTAGGCAGTATTGCTTCAATAGTCACAAGGAAATAAGGGATGTTTTCCTTGTTATCACAAGGAACTAATGATGGTGGTTCAAAATTTTGAATTTTTATCTTGAGGCTTATAATGCAGCTTTATTTATTTGGAATTATACAGAGTTTATATGAGGCTCTTTGAATTTGCAGCTACACTTAGCATGGAAAAACACAACTTTTCTCCTGTGTGAAATAAATGGTGACAACATGTAATTTTCTTCTTTGCAATCCTCACTATAATTTTCTTCCTTTCAAGCAATAGTTATTCTGATAAAACCTTCCCCATTTGTCTTGTCACTGTCTTACTACTTATATGTAACTATTGTATGGCAAAACGCCCTAATGGTTTGCAGAGGTACAGTTCACAAGTTGTTTTTTACATTAAGTATTTCCCAAGAAAACATTATGGGGATATTCACTGATGCACTTCAGTTTCAGTAATCAAAAAGAATATTTCCACTGAAAATGTACTCAGTGTTAATTCAAACATTACTACACACGCTCCTTTTGGCAGATAAATCTTCCTTTCTAATTGAAGTGCTAATAAGAATATATATAGTTGCATATATATGTCCCCATGTAACTATATTATTTCTTTTATACTGCCAAAAAATGACCTACTTCTCAGGGATAACAATGGTTTCAGGTCAGGCTATTTCAGTTCCAAAGCTGAAAGAAGTAAAGATTGAACATCTCCATGCAGGCAGCTGTATTGTCAGCAGCTCTGGACAGTCAGGGAGACAGCAGAGGGAACAGTGCAGGGAGAGGGGAGAACGTGTTATTGCTAACAACCACCATGGGAGCTTTTTGGGAGATCACATGATGCTGGGAAAGGTGTTCTGACTTTAGCTTGGGACCTATCTGGACCCCTAGTCCTTTCTTCCCTACTTCATGCAACCACGCTTTACCTGTAAAAACACACACAAGCTTTCTCCTCAATTTAAGTCTCCAGAGACTTTGACTTTCTCACCATCTTTGTCTGTATCCCTGCCCACACGCTCTGCGTGTCTGTGATGCTTTTGGCTGTTGGTTTTCAGAAGTCTCCCACTGGTATTGTTTCTCCTGGTCCCAGCAGCCAAGCTGAGAGGCAGCAGGTTCAAATTTTAGCAGGGTTCACAGAGGAGAATTATTCTCTTTTGCACATGCCGTTGAATTAGGCAGGGGGATTTGTTGCTATGGTGTTTTTTCATCATACTTTCTTATCTTTGGTCCCTTCCTCTCTTCTTGTCTCCCTTTTTTTCTCTTAGCAGCTTATATTTCCTTGTTTTATCAAACCACTTGTTATCATTTGATGGCACTCGTCATTCCTAACAGGCTTCTCTACAGGATCATATCTTCATGATGTAAAAGTGGAACACAGCAGTGGCCAATAAAAATAGAGTAGATGACTCGTTTTGAGATAATATTCCTTTGTTAAAAGAAGCAGACAAGCACTATTGCTTCTTTCAAGCAAAAGGATAGGGTCTTCAGCCTAAAGAAAATGAACTGATAGAAGGAAATTTGCCAAATAATCAAACAAATTTGCCAAATAAACAAACAATGCTTAGTCATTGGCAGTCTTGCTTTCAGTACATCTTCAATTACAGAAAAGCCATACAATTTGGAAGGATGCACAACAAATTCTTGTCTAAACAGAAAAGTAGCCCATTAGGTTTAAAAACATATAGCAATACTTTAGATATTCAAGAAAAATTTCAAGCAAGTTCTTCAAGTTGTTTACTAATTTTAAAAATCATTATTTGGATAGTAATGCTCTTCAAAAAATGAAAGGTTTTTTGTTTCCTTGAAATTTTATTCACATCTAAACTTTGTTTACTAGTAACTATATGATTGAAGTGCATTGCAGATAAAATTTTCTTTCTGGACTTCTTCTCCAGCCTTGGTATGGAAGGTTATGAAAATATTTAATTTCATGCTTCTGCTATGTCAGTATTAGCTAACTTTGGCAACTCCATAATTATCAGTGGAGACATTAATTCAGAGCCCTGCAGGCATTTCCCAGAGCATTAAAGGTTCTGTTAAAAATATGTCCTGGACTTCAGTGTATGGAGATCATATCTTCAAAACTGCACACTACCAAAAGTTTTCTCTTAAAAGTCCACATCTAAATAAAGAGTATTGATTGTAGGAGAAATATATATGGACACTGTTGCTTTTAATGAAAAAACACAATACATCATAAGCTTCAAATTTGGGGGCAGGGAGGGAGAGACACTTTAGCCTTCATAGCAATAAGGAAAAAAAATGTTCTACATGGTGTTTATTAACATGAACTGTGAAAAGAAATAGAAATGAGAGTGGAAATTGTTAAATGCAGGACCAGTCAATAGCAAGATAATGACACAACACAGTGAAGAAAGATTGATTTTTGTCCCTCCATCACACTGAGGCTTAAGTTTATTTGCTAACACAGTGATTAGATAACAGGTGGAATCTAGCAAGTATGATTCGCGAGACAGCAGTGTTTAGATAGAAAAACGCTATATAATTTAGATTATGGTGTAAACATCCAGTATTTCTGCATGAATCCACCTATGGATTATGCCACAACAGAAATTATGATTGCAAATAAAGAACTCTATTCCATCCATAATCAGACCCTTAGAAAACACAAAAAACCTTCTCCCTTCTAATATCCCAGTTTGAAAATCTTATGAACTATAGGAAATTGAGAACAGAGGTGGTAGTCCTTCAAGACCAATTATAGTTCCCACTTTGGCAGTTTTGCTGGAACAGTAGTTTGGATGCAAGATTCTTCACGTAACTCAAGTCTGCATCATGAGATATCTTTGATTGCTAATAGCTCTCCCACTGAAAAACGTGTCAGGGCATTTCTGGTTAGAGATTACCAAGAGGGAAGTTTATGATCAGTAGCCAGACATTTTGAGACTAATAATTTGTTGTTTTCAATGAGGTTGCATTTGCTAGACAGATTATGAGATGAAACTACAGCTGTGCCTGTCTCTTCCATAGCAACCAACAGAGAGCTCCTCACCTTTCCCAAAAGACTCCTCAAGCTGATCACACTCACAAGAAAGAAAATTCAGTACGATAGCAGCAAGCTTGATTTGGCAGCCAGGGGTTTGGATGCAACATCAGTGTGGAGATGGCAAGCTCTTGCTTTGGTTCATTTCTCACTGTAATAAAAGCAAAATGAAATTTGCCAAATAATCAAACAAACCTTTCAAAGAAACATTAAGGAACATAATTGTTGATTAAACTCTCTTCTTGCTTGAATGTAAAATTCATCCTGGGGAAACCTAGGCATTTAGCAAAAGCCAGTCACAAAGTGGCTGTGATTGCTCTTTTCTGTTGTTGTAAGATTGAATTAAAATAAGACCTGGTACACAAAGCCTTCTTGAGGCTTCATTTTGAAGAATTTGCTTCTTATTCATGATTCACAGGGGAGTTAGTATTTCTTTTTTAGGTTGCGTAATGCATGCAAGTGAGAGCTCTGAAAAAACAGTAATAAGGCATTTTCTTCTGACAAACTCTGGAAGTTTATAAGTAGGGATCATATCAGGACTCTACAAATTTTAATCCAGTTTGCATCCTATAAAAATAGCAGTACTTCATCTCTTATGATGCTTTACTATTTTATATTACTGGTGTGGACTGATTTGTTGAGGAGAGTATTTAAAGAGAATAATTTAGTGTAACTGTAAAGAGAAATGTGTTCTCTGCAAACTGGGAACATGAACAACTTGAAGACAGCATAATACAGCCAGAAAAGGCAAAAACCTGAGAGTGATTAAGACAATTATGAATATTCTCTCCCCAAAGAAACTGCAAAAAGCAGCAGCATCTTTACATATAATTACTTTTACATTACTGTGGCATTTACTATCAGAGGAGCTATTTTCTCTTAAAAACTGTGAAGAGAAATTACTTTGTCTGCCACTGCAAAGACAGCTTCTGTCTGAATAGTTCTGTTGAAAGTGTCGTCTACCTGATAATTTTTAACATAGGAAACTAAATACTAAAACTGTGAGAAAATTTAACTTTGACAGTGCAGGTGCTGATGGATGAATATTAAAGGATATTATGTTTACAAATTAATGAAAATTAAATGTTTACAGCTGATGCCCAGCTCACATACCGATTATGCAGCAAAGAATGCTTTCGAGACCATGCTATTGTAATATCTTTGTTACATGATATTCAAAATGATAAAACCTCTTCAACATTTTTTTTAGCAGCTTAGATAGATCTCAGGAGGCAGATAACTCCTTGAATAGATGGAGATCTTGAGATGAATCCTCAAGAGAGTCCTGTGTCCATCTGGCACCTGGAAAGGTATTTCTGCAATTAGACATTTAGAACTAGCATGGGCACGTGCAACTGTGTGTTCTCCGAGGGTGACACAAACCAGAGAAGAGAAGAACACTTCCAGAGATAATGATATGCTTTCACAATCTGCTTCTTATGATGTCAGTTATTACTATTTATGATGTCAGGAATCTGAGACACAACAGATTAATGGCAAATTAAAGAGCTAATGAAAACCTCTAGCCAAAGCAGCACCATGATAGAGCACTCCAGTAAGGGGAGGGCCACCAAGACGTTCAGGGGGCTGGAGCACATGGTGTACAAGGAGAGGCTTAGAGAGCTGGGTCTGTTCAGCCCAGAAGAGGTGGCCATGGAAGGACATTATGACTGCATACACCTGATTAATAGGAGGATGTAGCTGAGATGGAGACAGACTTTTTTGGAGCTACACAATGAAAGGGAAAGAAGGAATGAATGAAAATTCCAGCAAGTAAAATTGTGTTTACATATAAAGAAAAAGCTTTTCACAGTAATAGCAGTCAAACACTGGAAGATACTCCCCAGAGGGACTATAGAATCTGTATCCTTGGAGATGTTCAAACTCAGCTGGGACAAGGGCCAGATTAACCCAGTGGGTGGGACATTGAACAAAACAGCCTCTAGAAGTCCTTTTCACTCAAAACTATTTTATAGTTTAGAGTGAAAAGGACTCTAAATTTATTACTCAAGGGCTGAAACTTTGACATGAGATGCAAACAATTTTTTTGAAAGAATGTTGTATGCATATGTATACATGGTTCGTAACTATATAATGTTCAAACTTACACCCCAAACTTGGAATTCTAAAGCTTGGTGACAGTGACATATTCATGGCTTTCAAATTTGCTGGGAAAATCACCTTTCCTTGTTGAAACAGACTTGAACCATGAAAATTTGTTAAAATGTGAATAATTTCTAGATAGGCAACAAACTGCAATTAATTTCAGTGCCACGAGCAGAAAAAAAAATGAACTGAGGTAGAAAGTCAAAGATGTATTGAATTGCATGGGAGTTGATAATTAGTTTCCAACAAAAAAAACCCCTGAAGCTTTTCACAATTGAATTACAGTAGAAACACATAGATGAGAGAAAGCAGCGTAATATGCTAATTTAAATTATATTTTATCTAAAATTTCTCATAAACTAAAATACTTCTTCATTCCTCTCATGCAATTTATCTGTGACTACTAAAACAATCACTCAGGTTTGACATGACTGTGGTCACTCTTCTACCAAACCTGTTTAGTACATGACAATACCTCTTAACTCTGAGAAATACACGTTCCTGCCAGGAAATCTACTCTAAGAGCAAAATAGCACTACCATATGCCAGTGGTTAGTTGTAGTATCCTCTCCTTGGTAATGCAGTTCAGAGCTGCAGCAGCTCAAAATAAATTCCTTATGCCTGCACAAGGACTGGAAATGAAACAATTTAGTTTAGGAACATCCAAATATTTTATTTCAGTTTCATTATTTTTTCAGTCTTTTTCAAGTGGTTGGTTTAAGATACATCCAAAAACTAAACACAGTAAAATGCAGGATTTTAGGTGTTAATAGAGGCAGGTCCCTTATAATCAGCAGTCAGTTAAACAAACATTTATCCTGGGCAAGAAAAATTACAAATTAGCATCCCAATTCTGTACAAGAGATCTCCTACACTGAAATAATATTGGCACAGTGCAGGAGGGCTATTTCCCTCCCAGCCTCAAACCTCTATCCCAAAATAAAGGTATTTTTGAGGGTTTCTTTTCTGTAACTGCCATATAGAAAAAATTTAAGTAACATAAAAATGAGTCAATTTCTATAGAAATGGTCTTCTTATTATTTAATCAGGCCAGTATCTGAGTGATTCATGAACAGCAGGTTGTAATTCAATAAGTAGTTCATGCATCTCTGAGTTGAGAAAATTTGAAGGGAAGAAAAAGGAGAAGAAAGAAGCCCCTTACCCACATGACTTAAAAAACACTCTGTCCATTATAAATACTACCTAATTTACTTTAAAGCAGTTAACATCTGCTCAGTTCCTTAGCTTATTTGCTGTTCACTTACAGCAATAGTTGGGCACCAGTGATGCATTATGCTAGGCACTGTATAAGTCCATAACAGATAACCAGTAGCTTTGAGAAATTTACTGCACAAAGCAGTTGTGAAAGGAGTTAATTGACATCTGGGAGTATTGTAAACAAGCCAACATTTTTCTTCCACAAGGTAAAATGCACTGGAAAAAAAGCTGCCTCATGCAGGAACCTTTGTATTCATCCCAAAGATGTTTATTTTTGTAAGACTTAAGTTCCTGACCCCAAGGTCAGGAAAGTGCCCTTTATTTCTCTCCTCTTTCCACAAGGTGTCTGTCAGCTTGTGTAGGTAGGTATGCACTACACATATGCACACACAGAGAAATATATGCTTGTATGCATATGGGCATTTCCAGGTTCACCTTAAAAATACCTTGTAGTTACAATGCTGAGAAAAAGACTGTTATTGTAATGTTCCCACAGGGTGATTTTAGGAAGACTATGAAACAGTTGCAATTAGCTGGAGCTTAAAATAAGCAAATGGAGGAAGAAAATTTGCACTGCACTTTATTTCGGTGTGCAGAATGAGCCCAGACAGCTACAGCATCCTGATTTGTAGAAGAGTGATACTGATTTTCCAGGGAACAAAAATACTCTGTCCAACTTTCAGCACTGCCCTTTAGTGCCTGCTCTCCCACCAGTCAAGTTAAATTGAAAAGAACGACAGTTGAAGAGGGTAGGTGGAGAGAATGCTGCTGGAGCAAATGGTGCAGCTCAAATTCTCATTCTATCCCCATCTTTTGACTGGATATATGCATAGCTTTTCAAAATAAAAAGTCATCTTTCTAGAGCACCTGATTGCTTTTAACATAACTTTTTTTTCTGCCTGCTTTCATCTACCTTTCTTGGATCAAATACAAATGTGATTCCATCTCTTTATCTGGCACAGAGATCTCCAAGATAAAAAATACTATAAAAGCCAAAAGACATTTTCCATATTATTGTTGTAACCTCAGTAAATCTAAAGTACAGTGCTGTTAGACAGAATATCAAGAAAAATAAGTTTTTTTTCCCAGATCATTCTGTAACTATTCTTGCTGCAGGGCCATTGGAAATTTTGGAACATATGTGTTTTGCTGAATAAGGACAATAATGGTGCTGCTAGTGATGTGATTCTAAAAGTCGGTGACAGAGTGTGGTTAGTGAATAGAAATTGATAGGATAAAAGAGGCCATGTAACAGAGACTTTATGTAAAAAGAAAAGTAAATACCATCTGGAAAATCACTGGATTTCTGCCCATTTCAGTGTCTGCCTTCTGTAAGACAAAATAATGTCAACAAATGACAGAAGTCTGCAAAAGTTCACTGTATATTTGCAGTTTCATAGAAAACAGAGGTGATGAAATGTTATCTTCCCTCACTTTGTAAAATCATTGTGTTGCCTTACTGACCATTGCTATATGTAAATGCATTAGCTAGTAATCATTATAATAGCTCCCCAGGGTGTCTGATAATTTGCCTGGAAAGAGATCACTTTACACACCAGTGAGACATCTTTTTAATGTTTTTCTGGCTATCTGCACAGTGAGAGTTTCAGCTGAGAGTTTCAGGTGAGGTACAAATTCAGCTGCTCATCAAAAAAGTAAAAAAGGCTCTTTCCTATGTCTCCAAGGCCCATCGACTAGATGGCTGACAAAAGGCCTGTGCAGGATACAGCCTGCAGCCATAAATCTGGGGAATAGCAGCATTATCCTAAGGGAAGGTAGGTGTTATAGGAACTTCTACTCTGGGTCAGAAAGACACACACAAACCAGCAGGGAAACAGAGAGAGAATTCTGAGAGGCCATAAAAATGCTCATCTAGGAAGGCCTCAGGACCTCAAAGGAAGTTCTGACTCAATTTTGCTATGAAGGTACATGTAAATAGAAATTAATCTACACCAAATGTGAAGAATTGAAGATTTTTTTTTTTTGTCAAAAATTTCTATACTGCTCACAGCAATGCTCAAGCATCTTCATGACTGGATTGAAAACTGCACTTAGAGGCTCTGGGAAAGCCCTTTTAGAGCAGAGGTTGCAAGTGTCTGCACAGTATGGTGGTGTCACATCCTCATCCCCAGGTCAGTGCAGGTGACTTTCCCTGAAAGAAACATCTAGCAGAAAACAGTTTCATACTGACATTCTTTTGCAGAGTTGTCAAAGTTTTGTATATACACATTTTCTATTTTTAATGCCCAACTCCGAATATTTTAGTTGTAAAAGATGGAATGAGTTAGGCTATTTATATACAGCCATGACTTTTGTCACATTACACTGACAATAAAATTGAGTTTGTAAAGATATTAAACAAAATATAAGCTGTAGTTGCTAAATATTTGACTGCAATGGGCATTTTGAAACAAGAACAAACTTGTTTAGGACCAGAAAAAAGAGTGTAGTGAGTTGTAGTGAGATGTGTGATATATGTCTGTGGTAGTCTGACAAATCTAAGTTTGAAAGATTCTTGCTCAAGAGAGATGAACAGGTAAGAATTTTGATTTTTGTGGGGGCACTGGTGCCCCTGTTTTATTATCTGTTATTACAGATCCACTGAAATAATTTGCCTGTTTGAAGGATCAGGATCTAAATCTGACAAAATTCATGGGGGGAAACAAAAAGAAGGTATGTATAACAGAAAAAAAATAAGAAAATTCAACAAAAATTTTCAGTAACATTTATCTTCTTAGTCTGAGGTTATTAGGAACATGATCACTATGGTAAAGTAGCAAACTATAAAGAAGGACTGACTGGTGTTCAAGAGATGGGAAGCGCTGCCTGAGCACTGTTGGCTGAGAGATCAGGCAACAGCAGGGAACACAAGATGTGTCCACAAGCAGTGTTGTTCAGAATCTCAAAAGTGATGATGGAGTGAATGTCAATCTCTTACATGAAAAGCTATATCCCATATTCCTTATCATATTCACTAA